CAATTTTGGTGTATCAATACAATTCAAATTTCCTAAAAGTTTTTCATTTTAGCTATGATTACATGAATATGGTAAAAATACAATCTTAACGGTCTAGAGGTGTATTTGATACTATACGATTAATTGGTCTCTACGCTAAAAGTGAATTTTTTTAGAAATGTATTTCGCAAATTCGCAGCAATTTTGGTGTCAACAATAATTCGAACTACCAAAATATTAGCTAGCTTAAATAAGAATCTGACATGCTACCGGCTCAACGACATATTTGGTGCTATGATTAACTAGTGACGATGCTAAAAAAGTAATTTCTTGTAAATAAAGCTCTCATACCACGATGACATAGTAATCTGAAAAATGTTTCAATGTTTGCCATTAAACGGGCCACACGACATACCGTAGCGTCAGTGTTTACCCGCGTGCCCGCTTGAAAAAAATATGTGCTTTCTCACACAGTGTCAGCTTTATATATCTGCCGACCAGCTAAACGCAGAGAGAAATTAGTGCCGTCTCAATCTCTGCCCGAGTTAATCGATTAAGACGAGTAAATATACGGTCACCGAATGACGTAGCTGTTTATTCACCACATACCACCATAATGATGCACATCCACACACACACACACACACACACACACACACACACACACACACACACCACCACACACACACACACACACACACACACACACACACACACACACACACACACACACACCACAACACCCCACACTCACACACACACCACGACACACACATCACACACACACACAACCACACACACCACACACAACACACACACACACACACACACACACAGCATACCCATACATACAAAAAACCCCCCGCGCGCGCACGCCAACACCACACACAACACATAACACGCCACGCAGCACGCACGCACGCACGCACGCACGCACGCACACACACACGCCAACACAACACAACTCTCTCTCTCTCTCTTCTCTCCTCTCTCTCTCTCTCTCTCTCTACTCTCTCTCTCTCTCTCTCTCTCTCTCTCTCCTCTCTCTCTCTCTCTCTCTCTCTCTCTCTCTCTCTCTCTCTCTCTCATCTCTCTCTCTTCTCTCTCTCGTTCTCTCTCAGTTCTCTCTCTCTCTCTACACTCTCTCTCCCTCTCTCTTCTCCCTCTCTCTCTCTCTCTCTCTCTCTTCTTCCCTCGCTCCCCCTCTCTCTCACTTCCCCTCTCTCTCTCTCTTCTTCGCTCTGTCTATCTCTCTATCCTGGCGGCGCTCTCTCTGCTCTTCCGCTCCGCTCTCTCTCTCTCTCTTGCTCTCTCGTTCTTCGCTCGGCCGCGCTCGTCTCCTCTCGCCTCTCGCTCTTGTCTCCCCCCTCTCGCTCGTTTCTCTCTCCCCTCTATCCCCCCTCTTCTCTCTCTCCTCTTCTCTCTCTCTCTTCTCTCTCTCTCTCTCTCTCTGCTCTCTCCGTTCTTTCTGCTCTCTCACTCTCATCCCTCTCTCTCTCTCTCTCCTCTCCTCCCTCTACTCTCTCTCTTCTCGGTCTCTGCTCTCTCTTCCTCTTCCCCTCTCTCCCCTGCCTCTCCCCCCCCCCTCCCTCTCTCTCTCTCTTCTTCGTCTCCCTCGCTCTCGCTCTCTTCTCGCTCCCGCGCGCTTATTCTCTCGCTCGCCTATGTCTCCCCCTCGTCTTCCCCCTCTCCCTCCCTCCCCCCTCTCTCTCTATCTCTCTCGCTCCCTTCGCTTCTGCTGCTCTCTCGCACCCGCGCCGCCTCTCTCTCGCTCTCGCTCTTGTCTCCCCCTTCTCCCCCTCTCCCTCCCGCCCTCTCTCTCATCACAGTCGCATCGTAGCGTTGGTTAAAGAATTGCTACCGCAGACACGTGTGCACTTAATTTGGATGGTTTTAAATTTGCAGTTTGGGACCGGTGGAGAAGTGTATTCGATTTTTGTTAGCCGTACGTGTCCTCGCTAGATTGCTATTACTCACCTGACTTAAAGGGGTTGAACCTACGCCTCATTACCATTGCATTTTCCTTGTTTTTTTTACGTAAATTCATGCGAGCAATACGTGGAGGTGGCCCGCGGCAACATATACATTACGCCTCCGCCTGTTTCTCGCAAGAGAACACAGATCCATTCGGATTTTACATTTCTAATAGAAGTTAGAACTAGATCTCGTCTGCTTAAGCATATTAAATTATCATGCTGAAACCATATGCCAAAGTTCAGCAGATGAGGCTGCGCAGTTCCTTAATCTACGCACAGGTTGTTCTGGTGTATAGCAAACAGTTCCTTTAGTACACAGAAAGCAAGCATATT